TTCAAGAATTCATTTGAATGCCTTCCCGATTGAAGTTTTAGCTGAAATTTGGTATGAGTAAACTAGACTTAATGAATAAGATGCTCAAAAAATTTCATCAAAAAATTCCATCGGGAACCACCCCAAATGGCGACGGCCGGACAGAGCCTCCTAAATAAGGGCTTATTTGACCTTTTTTTGTTAGTACATGGGCCTATTTGCATCTTTTCCCTAAAATAATTTACTCAATTAAAAAAAACTCCAGCCATATTTATTGGGTTTTAGGGATTTTATCAATCTAAAACCTAAAAGATAGATGAACTATCAATCCACGATCTGAAAGATGGAATGTGTCAATAGAAGGCGCAAATGATTGAAAACTATCAATGAGGTAACAACAACATTACCACAATGTCGCAAAAGTCCCTTTACGTTTGGGGAAAGGGGGGTCAGATCTACGCAGCCTTACCCCTTTATTAAGGCATATAAAAACTGTTTCCGGATGACCAATGGTCAGGGGCGGACCCAGGAACTTCATGTTGGGGGGGTTCAAATATTTTTTTAGGGCGAAAATTATTTTTTAAGGGGGTGAAAATTATTTTTCTTATATATATACACTAAAAATAAATTTTGTTGGAGGGGCGGTAACCCCCCTGGGTGTGTACTACGGTCCGCCTCTGCCAATGATGAATTTTGATAAAAAAAAAATTGCATGAATTGATCTAATTGTTACTTCATAACAAAGAAGCACGGACAATTTAGTGAGCTATTTTGCTTTTTTCATCACATTCCCAAGCCAAAAAATAGTGAGTCTTTGGCTCCATTGGAAGTGATGAAAATTTGTAATGATTTTTTTATTTTAAAATTTTGGAAAAATTGATAGTAATAATTCCAACTATTGGGGGACCCGATCGCTCATAATAATCTCAACTATCGATTATTTCAGAATAATCCCAAATTTAGGGACCTTCCTTACGCTAATAATGGTCCGGTGTGACCGGCTATAAATATATTCATATAGCTTCTAAAGTGGATGAGAAGAGATACAGCAGATAATCTCTATAAATAATCCCAACTTTTAATTTTTACTCTTAATTTCTATTTAAAATTCACATGTTATAAAATGCATTTTTATACTTTTCATATGATGATTTTTGTAGCTCCCATACTAATCACAAAAGAGAACTAAATGACGTTTTGTCTGTGTAGAAACTCAAACGATTACTCAACAAACTGAAAATGAAATAAATTTCACTCACTTACTGAACTTATTGTGTCTCTAATATTTAATGTGGGATGTATGTGCATTAGTGTCTTTTGATATTCACGAAGTAATTGCTATATCAACTCTATAGTCTCTACGGGCACATGCTAAAGATATCTAACAAATTTCAATTGTTCATAGACGTGCCACATGCCAAGTTTCCCTAGAAAGAATTTTGCCACATGTCATTATTTCCCATAGGGTTATGCTAAGGGTTTGCTTTATTATATTATATAGATATAGATGTTAATAAAATATGTGTCGTGTTTTAAAATGAAGTTTGTTTGTATTAGAAAAGGTAATAGTATGTTGTTTTGCACAATATTTTCTAATATACCATTTACGTTTGAGATCTTTTTAAATATATTATTAAAATAAAATTTATTTGTAAAAATATGACTTAACAATTAGTATAATATAGTGTCATGATGTCATGATCACTTAAGTTTAAAAATTGAACAAAAACTAACATGACTAAAGTTAAGAAATAATTACATAAATATGACCAAAATAAAGATGATTTACAAAAGTATAATTAGTGACTAGAGTAGTAATGAAATCATAGTAATTCATGTTCAAGTTTTGAGCTTTAGTTACCATAACACTACATTGTAGTAATGAATAGTTATATTTATGTAAATATGTTTTATTTTAGTAATATTCTTGTAAAAAAACCGTTAAGAAATACTATAGTCTCTTTCAAAAAAAAATTAATACTATAGTCACTACACTTAAGTTGTCACGTTTTTGTAATTGATGTTGTTTTAGTCATAAATATCTAATTACTTCATTACACATTACTAACATTTCTATAAAAATTAAAAGGGGAAAATGTCAAATAGGTCCTCGAACTTTCATAAAAAAGTCAATTAAGTCCTTCTATCGGAGGTTCTGTCCGGCCGTCGCGATTTGGGGCGGTTCCCGGTGGAATTTTTTGATGAATTGTTTTGAACATCTTATTCATCGGGTCTAGTTTACTCATACCAAATGTCAGCTAAAAATTCAATCGGGAACACTTTCAAATTAATTCGTGAAGATAACTGCGCATTTTTGCGTTCTCGAATTAATTTGAATACGTTCCCAATTGAATTTTTAGCTGAAATTTGGTATGAGTAAACTAGACTTGATGAATATGATGCTAAAAAAAAATTCATCAAAAAATTCCACCGGGAACTGCCCCAAATCGCGACGGCCGGACAGAGTATGCTATAGAAGGACTTAATTGATTTTTTTATGAAAGTTCGAGGACCTATTTGACAATTTTCCCAAATTAAAATAATAACTAGTAAAAAACGAAACGCCTGATATCAAGGTTTAAACCGGTCAGCCGGCTGATTTAAACCTTAATTCACCAATAAAAGGTTTGTTCTTTACTTCTCTAGTCTCTACTTCTCTTCCGTCATCTTCTCATCCGATATCAATCTCCTCCCTGATATTCTCGTACACTACAAACACATATAGTATCTCCGTTCTTAAATAAGTGAAACATATGCAATTTTGCACTATTCACATGTTCTACTTTGATTACATTTTATTTATTGATTTATTGATGTATTAATATATATTTTTGAAAAATATATTATTAATCTTGTCTCATTGTAAATTTTCAAAAACTGATTTTTTTACATTTTTTACTAATAGAGAATTATATATATTAATAGTCAAAGTTGTGTCTCGGCAAGTGTGAAATGTTGACTGTTGCACTTATTTAATAACGGAAGAAGTGGACAAGAATGTCCTTAGTGATCACGCCACTACAAATGCGCACCATCCACTTTTCTGTCACTAACATAAACGGAGCAGGACATTAGAAGTGTATCTCCCTTTTATTGATTTTTTTTTATCGTCCCTTTTATTGATTTTTTAAAAGCCCTCCTTGTATTCCTTCTTTAAAATAAAATAAAAATATTATATATTTTCCTAAAATTTTTTTCAAAAAATCCTAAAAATCCTAATAAGTAATGCAACTATCTTTGATACATACTCAAATTGCTAATATAATCAGGATTACACTTTTTACCCACCATTAAACAACTACTCCCTCCGTCCCTCAATTATGTTCTCACATTCCTTATTTGTAAAATTATCTATATCAAAACAATCTGAACAGTGCAAAACAGTACCTAACAGTGTCCAAACAGTGTCAAACAATGTTTAAACAGTGCAAAATAGTGCACTTCACAGTAAAGTCAAATCTATTTTTTTATATTTTTTTTTACAATCTTATACAATGGAGAATGAATCTTAAAATTATCTAAAAAATAGTGCTCTTGACTTCCAGACTTTTGAGCTATTCATCTGCCCCACTCTCTGTATCCAAGTTCTTCTTCTTCTTTTTTTACAAAAAACAAGTCTTCCCATGTAAAGTACAAAGTTTTCACTTTTGCATGTTTTGCTTGCACGTTTTCTTGTTCTTGTTGCACTTTTTTGCTATAGCGAAAAAAACCGAGTTATTTTCAAAACTGCCGCCGTCATTTTGGCCGGTTTTGACAAAATTCACAATTGTGCAAACGTGCAGCGGCAACAAGCAAAGGTGCAAGCGAAATATGCAAAAGTGAAACTGTGTACTTTGCACGGGAAGACCACTTTTTATCTGAACTCTTCCATATACATACACACACAGTATATATTTTCATTCATCTTTATATTGAATAGGGAAAAATAAATAAAATACCTTAAACTTTGAAGAAGTGTGAGATAAATACCCCAAACTTTCATATGTAATTTAAATACCCCAAACTTTATATAAAAAGTTATTTTAGCACCATGGTCATATTTTTTTTTCGAAAATAGAAATTTACGGTGCTAATTGCATAATTTAAAATAGCAAATTAAAAATGTTGCAATTATATAGAGTGGGAGTAGTGTTTTTTATTTTACAACAAAAGATTAGAATATTAATTATATATTAATGAATGCTAAAATATTTTAAATTATGAGATTAACACCAAAAATTAACATTTTTGAAAGAAATAATGCATGATCATGGTGCTAAAATAACTTTTTATATAAAGTTTGGGGTATTTAAATTACATATGCAAGTTTGGGGTGCTTACCTCACACCCTCTCAAAGTTTGGGGTATTTTAATTATTTTTTCCTATTGAATAATATTGTCTAACTACGAGATGACAATATCTAGAATGTTTTTAATTGAGATGTTTTCAATCCTAGATCGACCAAATTTATCTTCATTTATAGTTCTATATTGAAATATATTTTTGAATATGTAACATTTTTAATTCTAGTAAATTAATTATCTTTTAAAACTCCATCGACACAATGGTGATTCGGCATTACAGACATATATGTTACATGACTCGAGATTTAGGATGTGAATGATATTGAGAATGTTTTTAATTGAACTGATTTTGATCCAGACATATTCAAACAAATCAGATCAGACCTGACTAGACTAGAGTTAAATAATACTACGTAGATACATTTATCGTTCATTCACCAGACCTGACAAAATGTTTTTGTTTTTTAATTTTTACATATATGATATTGGTGTCAGACAAATGATCATAAAAAACTATTTAATTTTAATTTTATAAAAATAGGAGCAAAATTGGATAAGTTAAAACATTTTATTTTATAATAAAATGAATTATTTGACACATGTCAACTTTTAATTTGATATATTTTGGTAAAAAGTAAAAAGAATGAAAAATTTATCACTTTATAGAAAAGTATTTGACATGTGGCAGCGAACTCACTTACTTAGCTTATCATCATACATACGCAACACTATATTGCAAACTATGTGTCGTATAGATAGATTATTACGTATAACAAAACTAAATTAGGAACAATTTTGTCCAAAAGGGGTACGCATAGTAATTGAGGAGGTGTGTGAAGCAATTCCCATTGCAAAATTCACACTGCAGCAAAATTCTCATCCCTCAAGAGTGCTCTGGTACCCTAGGAATGTTGATGGCGAACTGGCTCCATAGCAATTGAGCATTTCTCTGTAAAGAATAGGTAAAATTTATCTCTTTAGATATCCAATAATCTTTCTAAACACAACCTCTCCCTAGTGCAATTTCACTATTTCAAAGGATGCCTCTGAAAAAGAAAAACTGTGGCACGCTGGTGAAAAGTAATTGTCATAAAGATATCATCAGCAACCTCCCTGATAGTCTAAGGGAAACCATCTTGATTTTCTTGCCTCTTCAAGATGCCGTAAGGACGAGTGTGCTCTCAAGTAAGTGGAGGTACACATGGACTAAAATTCCACATCTTGATTTTGATAATAAAATCTGGCCAGGATCAAGTGGTGGTGATCAATTGGAGCGTCAAAATAAATGTGTTAGGCGGATACTCCATGTTTTGCTGCAACATGAAGGTCCTATAACCTCGCTGTATCTTTCAATTCCTGAACTGGAAATTTTCCCTGAGATAGACAACTTGATGGTTCTGTTGTCCAAAAGTGATGTTGAGGATCTCACGCTTTTATTTTGGTCTGGTGACCATTATAAACTGCCTTCAACATTTTTCAAGTGTCAGAGATTAAAATCTTTGTACCTTATGTCCTGTTTGGTTCATCCACCTTCTGACTTCATTGGATTTAGTCAGCTTCTCACCATTGACATGTTCAGTGTAGCCATTGGTTCAGAACAACTTGAAAGCCTCATTGCTTGTTGCCCACTACTTGAATACCTGAAGCTAGAAAATTTCTCGGTATACGAAGCTCTTGAGATTCAGGCTCCTAAACTTAAGTACTTTAAATTCAATGGTGAAGTGGAATCCGTTTGTTTCAAGAACACCCCACTACTCGAGGAGATTGTTATTGTTAACGATTCACATATTCAAATAGGGAAAGAAAGTTCTTTTTACGGGGAATCTAATCTTATTGGACTATTTGGATCTCTTCCGGCGCTCAGTGTTCTACATTTCGATAATCTCTTCATTCAGGTTTGAGAGTCTCGACATTTATTTTTTGTAGTAGTACTAAAAGTGTGTTTGGCATGTTTGCACTTAGAGGTCTGATGAGTGACATTTCCCAAACTTGGGTTTGTGTTGGGCCATTAGATGGCTGTTTTTTCCTAGTACAGAGTTTATTTTTGCCCAATTTGGATCATATGTGGCACGACTGGATGTGGTAACTAATATTGTTGATACTTGATGCACTACCTTTTCCAAAACCACAAAAAGTTTCGAGTAGTTTTCACTTTTCAGTCACCATGGCCACCTGCAACAAGTGTTGCTGCTAATAGCCAGCCACCAATCACAAGTTATTTTCATTCTAATATATACAGCCCGTTTGGTATCTTCTATTTTCAGCTTATCAATCTTATAAGCCATTTTTATAACGAAACATGTAATTATTGATTTCGCGTGCTGAATTGTGTAATAATCCAAATAAGTATGTTGAAATGGCTTTTCTTTCTGAATTGGTCAAAGTTAGTGTTGAGAACTATTTTAGCTATTTTCGTGTAATTTTTATATACATTATTAATAAAAATATATTTTAAATATGATTTTTTCATAACTTAGTAGATTCAACCTATTCAGCAGCTTCAACCAAAATTTCATTAATTTGAGCATATTAAGCCGCTTCAGGATCACAATCTATCAAGTCCATTGCGCCCGTTACTGTTTTCAGCCACTGCTCTTTTTGCACCTCTTATGTATATAAAATTAACTTTTGGAAAAATTAAATATATTAACTACTTTAAGAAATTGTTTTCTATGAAACTTTGAATACCACACTAAAATTATTTTCATTAGTTTTAAACTAATTAGCAGCTAGCAAGGTTGCCTAGTGTTATGTATTAATTGTTATAATGAAGTTGATAGATTTCCATTACAGTTGCTTTATCAATACATTTGTATGCAAAACACAGTAATACTCCGTAATTAAAAAAAAAAACGGTGGTCGGTGACTGGCAGCTGACAGCTGCAGTTTCTGTAATTTCTACCATGGAAACAGTTGTGCATGAGTGGTGATGTTCACTATACTTAGTGCTGCATTAGATTCAACTTGCAAAAAAGTCATGTGAGCAAAAAACATTTAACATTGGGCCAACATCCTCCATTCTAACTGCAAAAACGAACTCTAGTCTCCACTAGAACTTTCACAGGCTGTTAAGTATAAACATCCCGTACCACAAGGTTCATTTTTTGTACTATTTATTCTATGATAAACTCCCATGGTAATATGATATATGAGTTTTGGAGACTAATACAGAACCCTACTTTGTGTACAACAATTGAAGTTTTCAGCTGCAAGTGTAGTCCTAAAAAGATCTAGTCTAACTGCTTTGCACCTTAACACTCTTAAACTTGAGGGAATATGTTTAGAGAAAATGGGGGAGATGACAGGTGTACTTTTCATTGTGAGAATCTCACCAAACTTGCAAGGCATCAAAATTCGAGTGAGTTTTCTTTTATATGTTTGCATTTATTAATTTAAAATGTTAAATTCATTTTGATATTCAGATTTTCTGGCTCATTGCACATGCTAATATTGTTTTTTTTTATCTTTTAGCTATTGAATCCTACTTGTGCTGCTGACCAAAAATTTCTTTCTCCCGAGTCACTGAATGTTGAAGAGTACTTAGACTTGAAATTAGATCAGCTGAGGAGGGTAGAGTTGGAAGGTTTTACTGGTACAAGGAACCAAATGGCGCTTGCAAAGCTTCTTCTAATCAAATCTCCCGGGCTCATGAAAATGATAATTGAACCTAATGCTCAATTCTGCGATGAAACAAAAGGGTTTCTGATATTGAAAGAGCTTATACGATTGCCACGACCATCCACAGCTGCAGAGATCATCTATGGATAGGTGAAGCAGTATTCTATTTTCTTTGACTATGCATGTCATTGCTTGCATTTGCGTGTGATCTTACATTTCTTTTTGTGTACCTTGTTATTTGCAAGACTATTAAGTGTTTGCACTTTTGTACGCACTGCGATTACGCGTACTTTTTTCAGTCCTCAGCTTTCAATATATCCACTTTTGGAGCATGACTATGGGCTTCTCATATTCGGTCCTGTTAATTTTCGACTAAGCAATCAGAAAATATCAAAAAGGGAAAGTTCCTGAAATAGGAGGAAATATGTTCTGAAATTCGAAAAATCTAAAATATGACTTATGTTTTTCTTTTCGAAATAGGAATAACAAGACAATATTTACTACCATCTTGAGTCATTACTGTCAAATAGTTGTACTAGACATCAAAACATGGCAGCATTTACTGTCATCTTGAAGTCATTACTGTCAAATAGTTGCAGTACTAGACATTAAAATGGCAGCATTTATTGTCATTAAAGACAGTATTTTTCAATCATGGTACTAATGGCTCCTATTTCAGAAAGAGAAACATAGGAGTTCTATTTTGGAATTCTAAAACATTTTTACTCTTATAAGTCCTATTTAGGAAAATTTCCCTAGTGGGGATGACCTAATAATCATATGAACCAAAGTGGAATATTTTTTCCGTTTAAGCCGAAACAAAGTGTTACATACCACACGAATGTAAGATCAATGAAATAGTATAATGAGGCAGGGATATTTATACCAATGCTTATTGCAAGTGTTTGATAATTTGTGTGGCCCTCCATATGGTTGGTTTAACTGTGATTACTTTTTAATATTCTAAAAGAAGTTACGCGTTGTTATCCGGGTGTAAATTGATGATTTTTCTATTAATACTTGGATGAACCCCTTTGCAGGTATCAATACAATAATACTTGGATGAACCCTTGCAGGTATCGATATGACGAGTTCAGAGAATGTGCTAATGAAAAATGATTGATAACTTTGTATATTATAGTTATTTCCCCCAAAGGCAGCTGCATGTTGTAATAATGTAATATCCTTGGACTTTCTTTTGATATTCTCGAGTTTTGTTTTGCTAATTTTGGTGAACAACCCAAATTTAAGTCAAACTTACTGTTCTAGCAGCCTGATATGAAGCAGAATATGGACTTGGAAGAACAGGGGCAGAAGCCTCTGTGGGTTTACTGAAGGCGGGGACGGGCTTGAGCCCACCTTCGTGGGTTGGTTGCGGGATGCTAAATTAATGTTTATTCTTTTTAATTATCCTGATTTGTTTCCTATTAGGAGTTAATTAGGATCTCTATTATTTGTTTCCTATTTAAAGTTAATTAGGATCTCTATCATTCTGTTTTCTAGTTGGAGTTGATTAGGATCTTTATTATTTTGTTTCCTAGTTGGAGTTGATTAGGATTTCTAGGATTTTGTTTTCTAGTTTAAGAATTAGTAGATGGGTATTTAAACCCCTTGTTAGGATTCACTCATGCTTATCTAGGAATAAAAGTTGGTTTAGCCTTTTGGCTCTGGGCAACGGTATTTATTTATCGTTGATTATTTGGGCAACGGTTCACCCCGTTGATTTTATTTTTCTGTTCTCAACAAATGGTCCGACCTGTCGGATCCCGTCCCGCCAGAATGACGAGATCTAGTGAACGCTTGTCAGAGATGGTGGCCAAGCAAACTCAAATCCTAGAGGGGCACAACATTCGTCTGGCAGAGATCGCCGCATCCCTGGCAGCGCTTATCAAGGCGCTCGTTCCATCAGTCATGACCGAAACAAGCTCGGACTCGGTCGGCAGCCCCAACGTATCTGCGCACAGCGGCGACGGACATCCGCACAACGTCACTTCTTCATTGGCTGCACTCAAAAAGACTCTCGCACCGCCAGCGGCGGAGCATTCAACGGTGGTGACTTCACTCGACGCGGCAGCAACATCCTCGTTCAGAATTGGAGTACGCAACTCCTTACGACGTTACCCTCGTTTAACGAAGTAGAACTGATCAGTCGGGTTGATAAGGCTGAGAAACGGTTCAAATTGAATTGTGAATTGCCGGGAAAGAAGGCGGCAGCCACTGTAGTTGCAATGGAAGGGTCAGCCCTATACTGGTTGACCTGGATACGGACACGAATGTCGGGCATGTCATGGGATGAGCTTACATAGGCATTGGTGGCTCGTTTTGACTCACAGTTTTAGGGCAATTGCTTTGATTGGCCGCCGGAGCCAAGCAAACAGGGACTGTGGAGGAGTACATCTCAATTTTTCCTGAAGATACTGGGCAGCCCCTGGGGACAAATGTCAGCCGGCTTCCAGATTTCAATCTTGAGGACAAGGTTTTTTCGAAGGGGGATGGAATTGATATGAAGCAGAATCTGGACTTGAAAGAACAGGGGTAGAAGCCTTTGTGGGTTTACTGAAAGCGGGGACGGGCTTGAGCCCACCTTTGTGGGCTGGTTGCGGGATGCTTAATTAATATTTATTCTTTTTAATTATCCTGATTTGTTTCCTATTAAGAGTTAATTAGAATCTCTATTATTTGTTTCCTATTTAAAGTTGATTAGGATCTCTATTATTCTGTTTCTAGTTGGAGTTGATTAGGATCTTTATTATTTTGTTTCCTAGTTGGAGTTGATTAGGATTTCTAGGATTTTGTTTCCTAGTTTAAGAATTAGATGGGTATTTAAACCTCTTGTTAGGATTCATTCATGCTCATCTGGGAATAAAAGTTGGTTTAGCCTTTTGGCTTTGGGTAACGGTATTTATTTATCGTTGATTATCTGGGTAACGGTTCACCCCGTTGATTTTATTTTTCTGTTCTCAACACAGCCCCATTAAGTTGTAAAAAACACTTAAATTACAAATTTTGTTAGTTAACATTCTCAACAACTAGTTTTCTAGATAAATTAGGTTGTATGTGCAATAAATTTCACCTCTAGATAAATTTCAGAGCACTTGAGTCATTGTGTCTATATTTGAAATATGTACACATAGTGATGGACCCGGGCCGGGTCGGGCCCGGGCCGGGTCAAGGCCCGGTCGGGCCTCGGGTCTTGTAATGGTAGGCCCGGAACCGGCCCGGGCATTGGCCGGTTCCGGTTCGGGCCGGGCCACCCGCCCAGGTCACGGGTCGGGCCACCCGCCGGGCCGGGCCGGGCCAGTATTTTTTTTTAATTAATTATATATTATACAAATTCCTATTAAAAACAAAGTTCAAGTGCATTTATTTGAAATAGGAACTACATTTGAGAATTGAGAAAAAAATAACAATACGAAATACATTTTCTAATGAATATCAATTGGGATTTCCGCCACCGTTGGTTGTTGTTTTCCCTTTGTCACAGGACTTCATATGTTTTATTGGCATCCCGTATCCGTATGAACGCCCCAAGCAACACTCTTTCTTGCACCACCTGCAAGTTGCCCACCACAGTCCGGTCTTCGGGTCCTTCCACTTGTCAAAATTGTTTTGCATAAGGGAAAATGTACTTTCCATATTTAAAATGGTATATGTATAAGTAGGAATGTAGGATAATAAGAGAATATGAAGATGGAGAAGAGTTGGAGAAGAATTGGAGAAGAGGTGTAGAAAAATGTTAGAAAATAGATGTATTTATAGATGTTTTTGAACCCCACTCCCCACACCACCACCCCCGGGACCCCCCTGCCCCCACCCATAGCCCCAACGGCTATATAGCCGTTTGGGAGGTTTGATTTCAATTTTTTTTTTAAGTTATACATATTGTAAAATAAATTAATTAATTTAATGAATTAAGTAAAACTAAAACTATTTGTACTTAGAAAAGTGGTTTGATTTATAATTTACAAATGTTACAAAATAGGTGTATAAGTATTTAAACAAATTACATATTGTAAATGTATTTTTAATTTAAAAACCGGCTTTATATTTTAGAAAAATAATTTTAAGTCGTTAGTTTGTAACCAATTAATTAATTTGAGAAGTGCTACATATGAAAAAGTGAACACATATTTATTTGAAATATGATGTACAAGTTTACAAATTAATTTGAAGTACAACTACAAATTTACAATTTTGAAATATGAAGTACAAGTTTACAATTTTGAAATATGAAGTACAAGTATAAATAAATTTGACAAGTGCTATAAAATACATTTTATAATATATTCTAAAATACTAATCAATCGGAATCTCCGGCATAGGTAGAGCCACCATCGGTTGTTGAGTCATCCATAAAATCTTGGGAGGGGGTGATGCTCATTTCTTGAGTTCTACGTGCGGCCTTCAACCAATCGTGGTAGCATATAAGCGTCTCAAGAGACTCCGCGCTCAATCTCGATCTAGATGCCGTTAGGACGTTGCCGGCCGAACTAAATTCTTGTTCCACAGCAACTGTTGAAATCGGCATTGATAGTACTTGCTTAGCCATCCGTGCTAAAATCGGGAACGTTCTTTCTTTTGACTTCCACCAGTCTAGAACGTCAAAGTCATCATTTTCTTCAAAATCAACTTCATATGTTAAATACAAAGTAATCTCATTCAATGCACTTTGTTCAGTGACGTGAGTTGTTTTTGTTTTTTTCATAAGATTGCCAAATGCAGATTTAAAAATCGATTTTCCTTTAAATGAAGATGTTCGTGACGGGGGAGGGGGAGCGTTGTTATATTGTGCACGAAACTCATTAAATAAGGCATAAAATAAAGTACTAACCTCGTTGTATTCCGTTTTCGGATCTATGGGGTTATCCTCATACATTGGAAATTCCCTAAAAAACGCAAGATAATAGAAGTTGAAACAATCTTCCAAATTAGCAAGTCTATAACGAGGATCGAGAATAAATGCAATACCATAAATATGGGGAATATGCGCATAATATTTTAAAAACTTTTCCTTCATATAATCACAAAAATAATGAACGAAAACGGCATTATGAAATTCTTTAAAAGCATCGGCGAGATTAACAGCTTGTGGAATAAATTGGTTTGCGGTAGGTTTATAAACATGACTAAAAGTTTCAGTAGCATTAAAAAAAATATCAAAACATTACAAATTTTTTCACAAACATTATAATATAGTTATCATATTCTTTTAAAAAAGCAGGAAAATGTTCTTTATATCTAAGAACAACTTTAAGTAATTTATAAGTACTATTCCAACGAATACTCAAATCTTTAGGAAAAGCAACATATCTCACACCTCTTTCAGTCAAATAAGTTTGCCATTTTAATCTAAGTTGACCATTACCCCAAATACGTCTAATCCCCCCCTTGATTACCTCCATGGAATCTCCTAACGCTTTTAAACCGTCTTGCACACATAAATTCATAACATGACATGCACACCGTTGATGAAAAAATCTACACATCAAAGTATTGGCACCACACAACTCACGCAATCTAGGTATAGCAGCAGTATTATTAGTAGCATTATCGAAACCAATAGCAAACACCTTATCAATCAAATTATACTCAATTAAAATACGCTCAATCAAAATATAAATATGTTCAGCGGTGTGACGATCATTAAATTCACGAAAAGCAAGAACACGTTTATGCATATTCCAATCCTCATCAATATAAGGTGCAGTCAGACCCAAATAATATAAATGATGAATATCATCCTCCCATATGTCAGAACAAATAGTAACACGCCCATCAAAGTTTGCAAAAAATTTTGTAACCTTTCCTTTTCCGCATTATAAAGCCTATCTTAACAGTTTTGCGACTATAATTTCTAAATTGAGGATTTAAACTACCTTGTGCATAATCTCTTAAAGCAAGACTTTCAGAAAACAAATAAGGCAAATTTTCTTCACAAATTAAGTTAGCCATACCAGTCAAATTTTGTGCATCATTGTAGGAGAAATTACCAAAAGGTTGAGAATTCGCAAACCTCGATATTTGAGTTTGCTTCCCCGTTCCGCCGCCTAATTTTGCATACTCCACAAGGTGCTTTGCCTTAAGATGCCTTGCGGCGGATCCGTATCCGCCAGAGGTTCCCAAACTATAATTGTTGTTGCACCACTTGCAAGTTGCGTGCCAATAGCCGGTTTGTGGGTCCTTCGATTTATCAAAATTATTTTTCATTAGTTCAGACTTACTTTTTTTATTACCGGTGGCGGTTTGGGATGAGGCAGGCTCGTCGGCGTCGTGGCTGCCGGGACCCTCCTCCTCGGCCGTCTCCGGTTCCAATTCCTCCGCATCTTCATCCTCAAGCCCCTCTTCGTCAATGGTCGTCGGCATTTGTTGTTGTTGTAGAAAGCGGTTATTATGTCGGGCCAATTCTTGTTGGAGTTGTTCTTCGGACATCGCATCTCCATCTCGCCTTTGGTAACCCGTTTCAAAATCATCTCGGCTTTGAGATGAAGAAACGGCAAGTTCTTTACCTTTGCGGGATTTCTTCCTCCCAATCTCGTTCCTTCGATTGCGTTGGAGGTTACCCAAATCAACTGAATATCTACCACCTTCCAGCTTAAAAATGTAACAAATATTAATTGACAACCAATATAATAATGGATACAAAACTAATGCAACTAATTAAAACTATTTTAA